AAAACGGGAGCCAATCGACAAATTTTAATGTGATTTTCGTATTCAGCAGCTTAAATTATCCAAGATTGGTTAGTTTAGTTTTCATAACATCCTACGTGTTGATCAGTGTGAAGAAATCTTACCCCAGTGCCACTTTGTCTAACACGCTTGCCGTTAGGTCAGTCGGGACTGAACCCAAGTTTTCGTGGTGAAAAGGAGCATCCTGGAAAAGGTACTTTCAGACTACTTACGCTCGGCTCGTGTTCCGGAGGCTATAGCTGGTGCGAACCGCCTTTGTTGCGAACCCCAGCCCACGCACGACCCCGGTTGTTCGTGAAATCGTCCACACTTTCGGAGGCACACGAGCCGGAAAATGAACACGGCCCTGATTAGTCAGGACGCACATGAATCCGTGACAGGTTGAAAATAAATATTTCAATTCACTTCAGAGACACAGTCTTATATCAACTTTAACATTTTTAGGTAATGAAGTCTCTATAAAAGGAAAAAAGTTTTAAAAAAATATACAGTATTTTATCAGGTAATGGACTACAGATATTTTTTCCCTTTCTGTACAAATGGAAAAAAGTGTTCCCTCAAGCGATTAGGGAACCAGTAAAACGTACTTCCATTTGGTATACACATATATAATGTATAACAAAAATGGGCATACTGTATATCATAAATGGTTTTTAATTATTAAAATACAAAAGAATTATATAATATATGAAATAAAATACACCAAAGTGCTTTTGAGTGCTTTCCAAGTCGTGTTTGTGTGTTACCCGATGCTCTATTCTGGAAGCTGTAGGATATTTTTTATTTGATGTATCGTCGCTTTCTGCGATTAATGTTGTTCAGTTTCCTGTGAGGAGGAGGTAATTAGCTGTCAGATATGTCTCTAGCCCTACACACAAATCCGTAAGCAACACACAGAACACAAGGAAGGATGCTAAATTCGAACTACAGCAGAGGAAACCTCGCAGATCCAAGACTGAACTATCATTGGGACAAAGGGAAGTATATCCTTTGTTATAACCAGATTTCATCATCTTGGCTTCTGAATGGCAGCGCCACACGAACATGCAATGCTAAATGGAAGAAGTTCATTACGACCTACTTATGCTGACTGTGGTTAACTGGATGTATTATGCATTAAGTGGCCAACTTCACCTTGAGGAGGGGGTGATTCTGTAGTAGGTGAAGTGGTTTGAAAGAGAATAAAAATAAGAAGAGAGAATAGAAAAGTACTTAGGAAACAAAAAGAAACAGCCGGATGAGAAAATACATGAGAGGGAAGTAGAAATGAGAAGAGAATTGAAGAGATGGGCTTGCAAAATGCGTAAAATTTTGTCGTACTAAGATGGTAAATGTGGAGTGGGATCTTGTATTTTATAACAGAAGCCGATGAAACGACGTCACAGTGAAATATGTGCGCCGAAAATAATTCTTTCAGAAAACCTTTTATGTCACACTTGGAAGAAGCAAATCTGTAGTTTGAGTATGATAAAGGTTCAAAAGCCTATCTCCACGAATAATTTATTTCAAAATATCTGTATAATTAAACCTATAAATCAATTGAATTTAAGACTGTGAAAGACTTTGGGAGTTTAAAGAAGAGGTACCAAGTGCCTTGACTGTTGTAAGCTATTATTATGATAATAGTAAAAGTAATTTCAGACAAAATTGAATG